GTCACTGCCTCTGCCCCCAGGCTTGGGGAGGAGCCCCTCCCTGCTCCCAGGGCCCCTGCGCTTTCCTCTAACACTGCACTGATCACTGTTCTGTCTCTGCTTATGTGCTTGTTTGTCCCTCCCCAGGAGAGGGGTCAGATTGATTAATGTCTACAGATCCAGAGCCAAGCATATTATTAGATAACACTGAATACATTATCAAAACATAAATGTATGAATAAATGAACAAAGGGAAGAATCCCAGTAAGTACTGTAGTTGCATAAGTGAGCTTGGAAGCTTGCTAGAATGAGTGGAGCCTTGAAGAACAGATACTGGAGAACATGGGAGTAAACTTTTGGGAGAAAAATGAGGGAGGAAGTCAGCATTAGCCAAAGGTAGATGCAGAAATGAAAATGTCATGTGGGTCATGGAAGACAGACAGCCTTGGCTAGAGCGTTAGGTTTGTGGGTAAAAGTTGTCAGACATAGGGCAAAACCGCAGGGGATTGGGGACCACAATTAGCCTAGAAGTTGCCTTTGTATGAACTGGAAAAAGGTGCTCTCTTTGTGAAAATGCCAACCTGAAACCACCTGGCCTGGAGAATGGTCAGTACTTTTGTGTTGAGAAACAAAAGCTTTTTATTTCAGTGGATGCAGCCAAGACCTTGAGGGTGTGGCCTGGTGAGCAGAACAAGTGCTAAATTTCAAACTCCTACAGTGCCCAACCTGCATAACCATATGCAGAGACCTGACCTTGGCAGTCCGGATTAAGATGAATAGAGAACAAGAAGCACAAATGAAGCTAATTCTTTTCATAGAATCTGACTTTCAGAGCTATTGGGGCTTTATGTTGGCCCCTAAGCCTCAAAGTTCATTTCTGCCTCCATAAGTCTTCCCCATACTATGAGCCTATGTTTTGCCCATGCGTGTCCCTGAAGGCAGAGCCTGGGGCAAGGACTTGGACCAGATAACTTATTTGGGAGATGTCCCAGGAAAGCAGGTGTGTGTGTGGTGGGGGCAAAGAAAATCAGACAGGCACCTATGGAAAGGTACAGAATTGGGCTAGTTATTGGTGTGGGAAAACTGGGACTCCATCCTTCTG